AGTCATTGTGGAAATTTTTTGAAAATCAGATACTAACCAATCGCCTTTAAGGTATCTTATAAGTCTTTCTCGAAGTTCGTCTGCTGATCCTTCGACTTTTAATTTTCTCTTAGCTAAATTTTCCTTTATAGAATTAAAGGGTGCTTTTTGAGCCCACAATATATTTTGTGAATCGTCTATGTCATAAATATTTATTGAGTTTATTACATTAGTGTCATCATTCTGATTTTCCATTTATGTGCATTTTATGAAACGGAAAAATTTCAAACAACAGAAAAATTAAAACTAGATATGGTTGGTGAGATGTTAATATTTTGTGAATGATTAATCTTGTGTTGTATATTGAAATGTTCTATGTTGTCATGTAAAATGTAAATTCAAGCATCTGAAGTAATTCAAGAAAGAAAATTTCTATTGAGGAGGGAAATAGTATGCCTCGAATGGTGTTTGAAAGAATGAACATATATGATTTTTTTATTAAATCTTTGTCTACGATTTCTGTTTCTTTGGCAGATTGAACGTGTACTTCTCTTAGAAGTGTTCTATATTTTTTAAAATCAGTTATTTCGGTATTTGAGCCTAGTTTTGTCAGGAGTATTCTTAGAATTTGTTTTATTATGATTCTTTGTTGTATTTGTATTACTTCATTAGTAAGTGATGATTCATTTATAGGATGAAGTTCTGTTAGACAAGCTTCATGGATTTCAATCAATTCTAAAATTAATTCTTTAATATTTGTTGGGTATATTATTCCTCTAATTATTTTGGATTCAAAGAAGTGTAAATATCCATATAGATTTTTTGGACTGAATTGATTGTTGTCGTTAGTGATTATCCAGATTATGTCAGCAATAAATGTAGTTAGTTGATTTTTAGTTCTGAATTCAAAGTGTATGGAGTATCTTGATAAAATGTGTTGTATAATAAGTTTGGTGGTGTTATTTATTTTTAATGCGTTAGATGTGTTCATTTGAAAATGTAGTAGTTATGAATCTGATGTACAGTGATGTTGTGATAGTTTAAACTAATGTTTCTCTAATCGATGAATTAGTAAGTTCAGAATACATTGGAGCACACGCAAGAAGTTGTTCTTCGGTTAACCTTATAATAAGGTGTAGGAGGTCAGTTAGTTTATGTATAATAATTGTTTCTGATGTTGGTAAGTTTAAATCTTTATTTATTTGGGAGATGCAAAATCGTTGAATTGTTAAAGATTGAATTATAGTTAATCTTTTGTGATTAGAATATTCCCAGATTATGTTTGTGATAAATTCAATTATATCATAATGATTGTGGAATAGAGTATTTTCATAAATTTTTATAGTTCTTCTTAAGACAAATTTGACTGTTTTTATAAATTGTTTTTTGGAGGGTTTGGTCATTTAAGTGTTTAATTATTAAATACTTTTATGGTAGTATGGAATTTATTTATTTGTTTAATCGAGAGTTGCTTCTATTTCTATGTTGCCAAAAATGATATATTTTTGTGGAATGTATTTGTATATTTGTTGTATTGTATGAGATAATATGAAATCTAATGCGAGTGTGAGTCTATGAATTATTATTCTCTCTGTGATAGGAGATGTTAGACTATCTCGTAAGTATTGAATAATAAATCTGTAAAGAATTATTGTATGTGTTTGTTTGATGTTATTTTTAAATGAGATATTCCATAAAGTATTCGCAATAATGTCTAATGTTTTAAAAAAATTGTGGAAAGTTCGATTTTCGTATTCAATTATTATTTGTTTTGTTAATTCTTTGATTATAAATAAAAAATCTTGTTTAGAAGGATATGACATTTAAAATAATTTCAATGTTTTAGTGTTTGTATTTAAATATATTTTTTAACAATAATATAATTTGGAAGGAAGAATTATTATGAGTTTAGCAACGGCTAATTCAAATATGATGTGGCTTGGAAACGAGTTCTTAGTTGGGCGCCAAATTGTAGTAATAAAAATGGGTAGCTAAAAATAGGGATAGGAGGGGTAATCTGTGATGTCTTTATGAAATTATTTTTAATATATGTATGTGTGCTTTTAAATGTGTCCTACTCTTCCATATCCTATTACTACAATAGTATGCTAGTGTTAATAAGCTTTCACGTACCTTATGGCTCAGCTATAGAGTGGAAATGCGTTGTCTCGCTGTCCTCCGTTGTTCCTTTGTTGTCTGTAGTGACTGAAAATAGAAGTCCCGTACGACACGCACTTACCGAACTCGTTAGTTTCTAATAGATACCGAAAGTTTTACTTAATAACACGCGTACTACTAGGTGTAATGTATTAATGATCCGGCTCGGAGTGTATTCCTGTTCGTCCAAATAAAGTTACCCTTTTCAGATATATTTTTAAGCGTTTTTAACTTGGTGATCCTCTAGCATGCTACGTGATAACTAGTCAGAGGACTACACTAATTCGTTTAGAAGATCAGACTACTAGGCTGCGATATTTAGAAGCAACAGACCTTAAGGGTCCATATTTAACCTCACTAAACAGCCGCTACTCTAGTTGTCTTCCCTTAGCTAAACACTAATTAATTAACTACTTAACTACTTAAATTTTCCAATCGCTGACGAGAACATCCAAATTCCAAGTGAATAATTTAATTCAAAGGAATTGGATCCCTAGAGCTGCTTTACGCTTCTCAAGAGAATTAAATGAACCAGGCCAGTCTCTCGGACTATGTTAAGATAGCTAAATTAATAGACGAATTATTAAATGAAACAAATAAATAAACACAATGTTTTGTTGTGCATAGGACTTGGAACATACACTGAGTCAAAACCATAAACAATTACGAAAAGAATCGGTTAACTACGCACACCCTGCCTAACAATTAAATAATTGATAAGTTGCAGACGATTGTAGCTAAACGACTGAGCGGCGACAAGCCCGTCGTATTGTCTTATATAGGGAGTAAATGCGTCATTAGCAGGGGGTGAGGTATGAAATGTTTCCTAGGATAATCATCCAAGCGTACAATTGTATGGTATGAGTCAGCATATGTTATGTGTCATGTTTATTTTAGTACATCCTTTAATACTTTTATAAAATACTGTATTTGAAATAATATATAAATAATTGTGTGCGATATTATTATTTGTGCATATAATTGATCTTATATAATTGACATTTTTGATTAGTGCATATATTGAATTTAGTGCATATAATCTTATCATATATAGGGGTATTTTTAGTGCATATAATTTCATGTATTGTGTGTTGTGTATTATGTATTATGATATTACATGTAAATGATTCAATGAGTACAATATAATCATTACAATAAGAAGAGAATGTTATTATATATTTAGACGTGTGAAGTAGTAAAGATGTGCCCCACGTTTTTCTAGTTCACCTGTCCTATTTGGTTATCAAGACCACCGGAAAGTTATTTCATACTTTTTAAAGCTCATAAAAACGTTATTTTTAGATTAATTTTTTAATCTACTTTAGTTATTTTGTTCTTTTTCGTTTTCGTATGTACGTATCTACTATATATTTAAATGTGCAATGTTATTTAATGAATATACATATTATTATACATATATTTTACATATAAATAATATTATTACAATATTATATAATAAAATCCGTCCATTTCGTCTGTAAGCGGTGATTGCATTAGAAAAGGCTGCATGGTCAAAAGGATTATAATACGAATTAGTAATCAATTTAAAAGCTTATAATTTTAGATTTATTATTGTATAAATTATCATAAAAGTTGAAATTAAGTTGTGATTACTATATAAATTATCATAAAAGTGTAATGATGGGAACGGATTTGAACCTGGTACCGCTCATATCCGAGCACCGTTCACGCCCAAACGCACCACGCATAATTTTTGCTGGCGGGTGAGAAATAAGTCTTTTTGAATTGCAAGATTCCACCGAGAATGACGGACAAGAAATCGACCCCATTTTAACCCCCTTAGGAGTAGAATTTTCAACCTCTTGTGGAATTATAATGCATTGTCATCGAATTGTGAGCTACCCTGAAAGTTTCAGCCGGATAGCTAATCGGGAAGTGCTCGAAATTTGAGTTGCAAGATTCCACCCGGAACGACAAACAAGATTGTGAGTTCATAAAAACGTTATAAAAAAGTATAATTTCATTGAAATTTTATCAATGAACATTCTGTTTTACTTATTATAAAACGTGTAAGTATGTTTTGAAAAACTTTTTTTTTTTTACAGACTCAAGAGACAATTTATTGTTGGTAAATTATTACTATAATATAATATTGTAAATGTTGTTTCATATACTTTAAGTTTTTTTTAAATATAAATTTCAATAATAAAAACTGATTTGATTATAACTTCAATAAAAAAACTCAAAACTGTATTTTTAAATGTTTAATTCGAAAAGAACTCGACAACGTACTTAAATAATATGTTATATTTTTTATAAGTCTATGATATACGGCCATTATATCGGGAATATCCGATAAGTCATTATATTTGATAGTGGTCCTACAATTTTTTGTTGGATATTAATTATCATTATTATTATAAGTAAAAGTAAGTAAAATATAAGTTGACATTTAAGAGAAAGAAACTAACACAGGAGACAAGTCACACAGTGAATTGAAAATAGTCCAAGCCTTATTGCATTAATTATGAAATGTTCAAGTTTTCCCCTTTAAATAAACAATACTAGCCGCACAACATACACGAATAATAATCGTGCATTTTTTATAAATATTGTATATGTTGGTACCCCTTTGAGTGGCTGTTTGTCGAGTGGCTTCGTGTCGATTTTCGGTGGTCGTTTGTCGAGTGGCTCTTTGAGGTGTAACCATAATTATTACATACCTACTACATTCTTAGGCTTATGTTGTCATCAGCTGGAATCTGTTTAATGATAACGATTATTCGAATTTCGAGCAAAACGAAAACACTGTCGTTACGTACATCATACCATTGAAATTATCACCAGTCCTTATCAATCGATATGTCCGTTTCTGCATGGTTCGTATAAAACATCAAGAGTGTACGGCACGTTCTTATTAGCTAACCCGTTGTCCACAAGTTGGCTGCCTACTGTGTATCGCGCTGTTCGTTTGTTGCTGTCCAAGTACTTGTTTAGTGATTTGTTAAAAAATTTTTTTATACAAATTCACCGCTTGCGTCCAAACCGGATAATTTACACACCTCGTAGGGTACCGTAGGTTTTTTCATTTTGGAAAGTTTTTGTTATTTTTATTGTTGACGTCAAATTTTGTATTTATAATATTTATTGTTCATATTCATATTTATATTACCTTTACGCTACAAAAGTTACCTTTAATAACTGCTTAGTAAAGTGATGGCCGTGTGTAGCTCAGTAGTTAAAACTGTCGTACCCGATTACAGCAATGGTGACTGCGTCAAACTGTGCAGCGAACACTATCGTCCACCAAAAGACAATCTAGCGTACCGGCATCTTCCCCCAAATACGGACACCGTGCAGACTAAACCGTTTCCGATTAGAGGTAATTGTTCTTTTTGTATATTTCTTTAAAATGTATATAATATTCAAGAACTTCATAATATTTATATAGTAATACAGTTTGCATAACTAGCTCTAAAGATAAGTCCTTTGATAAATAATGCTCAGTCTGTCAGTAGAAATACATTTTTTAATCCTTCCCTACATGTGTACAGTATGACGTTAACTCGCAAAAATTGTAACAAGGTAATTAAATCTCGTGTCCTATAATAATGTCATACGTAGACTGATATTTATTTATCCATATTTTTATCATTCATTCGTTGGTTTACAAAGTATGAATTGTAATAATGTTCTTTCTTGATTAGTTTAACCAAGGAGTAGCAATTTTAATAGAAGTTATTAAAAAATAACTACATATTAGATAAAGATTTTTAATACTACATTTTAATTAATTTTATAAATGACAAAATGGATAAGTAAAAAATGTATCTAAATCAAAACTAATCTCTATCTCATTTATACTGTTTGTCAAAAATTGCATTGTTCCAATACAAAATTATCCATTTGAATTAGGTACCTCAATAAATTGAGTGTTATGAGTAATAATTCAAATATACTACTTGAGTGGTATTCTTTTAAATCGTTCAATATACTAACATGTTCTGTAGTTTATCGTACATAATTTTATAATCAGTAATTTTTAAATAAAAACAGTTCCCTACTATTATAAAATCAATATTTGTTAATCTTTCATTGACGTCAATACCTATTATGATTAGTACTTAAGTTAAACTATTGTTTAATTTTTATTAAATCGGTACTGACATTAAATTTGCAATAAATTATGTATTAATTATACTTTTTGTAACAAAACAATAGGAAAAACTATTTGTAAAGATTTGGTACTTATTATATTCGTTAATGATTACTGTTAATAATTACTGGATCTAGAAATATTATTCTTCTATTTACTAAATCATATTTTCAGGTTCATTAATTTGTATTACATTTATAAAGAAAACATTTTGTTAAATGACAGATTACTAGTAGGTACATTGAAAAAAAAACATATTTACAATTAACAGCTTCTAAGCTTTGCATCAGATTTAAAAAAAAAAAAATATATATATATATATAGTTTACATTTTTAAGGAATTAGCAATATTTCGGTTTTATATAAGGTATTTGCTCACATGTAACACTTAACAACGTAATATTACCGCCAGTTAAAACTATCAAATATCTAAGAGTTCACTTTGACCAAAAATTATTTGGTGTCATCACATCCGCTCCACTAAACTAAAACTGAACGCCCGCTTGCAAAACGTTTCCTACACTATATAAATCAAAGCTATCACTCATATAAAACTCATTTTGTGCAAACTTTTACTCAATCCTCTATGACCATATGAAATGCAAATCTAAGACTTTGCAAAACACTCTAACCTAAATAAACTACAATTATCTCCAAACAAAATACTCAGTCTTTTAACAAACGCTCTTCCCTATGTATTTAACTTAACACTACACCAAGACCTATAAATCAATTGTTAACAGTCTTCAGTTAACTGTCTTCCAAGTTGCTAAACAACTTTACATCCGTTATCACAATTCCCAAGAAAATCATCTTGATACACTTTACAAAATATTTCACTACCAAATATGCTCAACAACCCTCTCAAAAGGCTAAAAAGGAAGTGGTGCAGTGATCTTCTCTCCCCTTAAGTAAGAATAAAAACCATAAGACTGCTATCAGTGGGCAGCTTCTCTTTTTCATGCTCTCATCGTCTATCACTTGTGTCATCATATATAGTATTGTACTAAACTTGTATAGATTGTATATTTAAAATAAATGCGGAAAAATATCCAAGGTGAAGGTAATATGTAATTATTAGGTAAAATTAAGGGCTATTTAGTATTCACTTTTTGTTACCTACATTTTTCATTCATAATTTGTGAAATGCGGTCAGTCTGTCATTGCAATTTAATCATTATACGTTTTTTGCCTAGTTTAATGTAGTCCAATTCAAATTAATTACCTACCAAAGTATTTGTTTACGTTAGTTTTTAAAATATTAATTTTAATATTTTCATTAGGTATGTACATTTTTAAAATATTTTGTATACAACATTACAAAATGTGTTCATTATATTTAAAATGAATCATTATGCAATGGATTAAACATTTTACTTACTTAATATGTAATACTCATTAATTATTATTACTATGAAATAGAACAATCAACTTAATCTTTACATTTTTACATGTTTACAACGTACATTTTGACAGTAGTTTATAGCTCACATAATATTATATTATCACCATCACTTTCATCGTTTCTGTAATAAACAATAAGTACAGTTATACAATTTTATACAATGCAATTAATGAGTAGTTTTAGCTGAAGTGGCCATACAACTATTTTCTAGTGTAAAATATGTCAGAATTTAAACACAGGTGTTCAAATGTTGGTATTATTTATAATTAATAACCTCAAAACCTGAAATTATCAGTTGGCATGTATTTTCTTCTGCAATATTTGTGGTACCTAATAAAATTTAAATAAATGGACTAGTTGAATTTATCATAGAACCATTTTCATTAAATAAATTAATAATATTGTTACATGTCAGGGTCAGGATTTTCAATGTATGATTCTCATTCAGATCTATCCCTTTGTGGGCTTCTACCATTGGCTTGTATATTCGATCACTAAATATATGATCACAGTCTTCAGATGGCGAGGTTGTAGTAGAATCAGAATTTTAACAAGTGTTGCCGAAGTATTTCCTAAATAATCAGCATGATAGAAACCAATTCAAAATATTTTAGTTTAAAGATACTATTATTACTGCTAATATTACTATGTATTTATATTTTATAACTTTACAATACGTACCATATTTTTTTACAAAATCTTGTTTAGCCTAGTGCTATTTAAATTCTTATAAACTTCAAGTACAAGTACAAACATTCATTTTTTCAAAGAGATCATTAATATCTGTTAACACTGGTTTCAGAAATTTTTAGGGTTTTTAGATAAAAAGTATAATAGCAATTTGCACAGTGATAATATTATAATTAAAATATACTATATTTTAATTTAAACAAGTACAACATATTTATATACTTTAAAATTTACATAGATACCGTACTTTTTTTAAAAAATCTGGTATTTTTATTGATTTTTTCTTGGTCAATTTATATCCAGAGCTCGTTATTTAAACACAGTAGATGCGCACTGTAAATAAAATAGTTATTTCAATCATTTTTACACACCATTAGGCGAGTGAGAGATCTTAGTTCTAGTAAAACTATTATCGAGAAGAACCCACTCCGCCCATTTTTAAGGAGTAAAGTATAGGCAATATTTCGCATAATCTTAATTTGAAGGTTAAACTGTGATATGTAATTATTAGTTAAGTAATTAGGACTCTTTTTTGATAGTTAATTTGTTTTTCGGACTATTACAGCATCTTTGACAGCAATTTTAAAAGTAATTCCATTTAACAGAGCTTTTTTTTTATATTTAAAATGATGATAACTTTATCTAGGTTCTATTGTCGGGATTTTTAATATAGGTAATTAACTCAACAAGTGCTTGTATTTAAGGTAAAATTTAAGTTTATCAAAACAACCAACGATAGAACTTAGTTCTTCTCTTTTTAACGGTATCAAAATTTGTTTCCTATGACTATTTCACTTCAACCTACACACTTTTCCATAAACACGTTTTAACGGTTATTTTTAAATGTTATGACGTCCTCTTAATACACAGCCATAATAACGCCATAAAAAGAGAAATAAAGTTGGTATTTTACAAAAACGACATAGGTATTAAAAATTAAAATCACTTACTTAAAATGATAAAAAAAATAATTAATATTCTTACCGTCACGGTAGGGTCAAAGGCTTTAACAAATACATTTATTTGTTAAGTAAATAAAAAAGTTTTTTGGAAAAAAAAAATCACGTTTAGTCGGCAACGGCCAATTATCAACTGAGATAAGAGTCTTATAAGTTATATCAAAAGGCAGTGTTAAATCAATGCACTGTAACAACACTTAACGGGGAAATAATGATACAAATGCCATCTAGCGGCAAGTATTGAAGTAACTAAGAACTTGTTGTTCTATCAGTAAAGTTCAAAAATATAACTCGATAATTACAAATTTCTTTTAAAAAAGCCAGAGTTCTTACCCATTTAATAAAATCCTTAGGCCCTCAATTTTGAATACTTTTAAAACCTTTTTTGCATAGTAACTTTTGTATGTCTATACAGGATGAATTTATGATTCTCCTAAATACATTTTTCATTGTCGGGATTTTTTGTAAAATTCTATTAAAATATATCATTATAGTTTTTTTAGATGATATTTTGTTACTTTATAAAATAAAACTGCTTTAGTGTAAACAAAAAAAAAAAAGAAGATTTAAATGCAAATTATTGCAATGTCCATTTATACTCTTCGATATAAAAAAATATAAATATAAAACAATTTTTATACTCTTCAATAAATTGGCATAATTAAAATCTATCATAAAATAATTCTTATCAAATATTGCCTTTATTTATCCTTTAATAAATAGCATTGTACTTATACCCCTTAAGGGAGGAATTTAAATAGCTTTACTTGATGTTAGTTAAATAAATGAATCCACTGATTTCATATAGTTCTGTATTTTGTTTTCAACATTTTTATTCTGGGCTCGCAATATTTTGCAATGACTGAAATGATGCACCGTGTACATTTATGTTTCTTATAGGTATATTATTATTATTATTTGTATAAATTATTCTTATTCATCCGACACTACATTCCTACTTACTGTTAGGTGCGAACATTAACTTGAGTCCAATCACAGAACGCCGTAAAAAACGTGATGGTGTGTCTTACGCCACATTCATGATATTTAACTCATTATAAATTATAATACGTCGGTTTATGCGCATATTTGTTGTTTCGAATTTAGCTTCGAATCGATTCACTACGTTTTAAAAACATTATCTAGTCTTAATCCTATATTTGGACACCTTTAGACGCAGTATAAGACATCGCAATCACAACGATAGGTCTTGGCCGGTTTAATGTGTTAAATAAATAAATGATTAACTTATTGATGATTTAGACATTGGAGTAGGCTATCAAGTTATTTATAATTTTAACGTTATTACTTAAGTCAATACTGGTACATATTACATGTAATGTCTACATGTATAAACATTACCGGTTAATCATATAACATTTTTAAAGCAATAGTCATACCGTTTAGTTTTAACATTATTTTTTTGAAAATATGTACAACTGTATTGTAAAACTGTAGTTTTATAATTTTACCTTATACGATTTCCATGTTCTAGCTGATCCAAGTTATTATTCGTTTCGTTTGAATAATAGGGACGCGTGTAAATGTAAATTCATAAAATATTTCAAGTCATGTATAGTTATATCAACGCAATGTGTATAAAAATATAAAACACATTGTAAGTTTGTAATTTAAGTACGAAAAATTGGCTCATCGGAATACAATCTATTTCAGTATTCGATGCATTCACTTTCTATTTTAATGCAGCGGAATGTTTGAAAGAAATAATGTTAATGCATTTGAAAAAAAATTACAAAACGTAAACGTGGCACGTTTTTTAATTCCATTGATTATTACTTTACAATAATCTTTTTATTATACTCAATAAATTAATTTATCAAGGTAAAGGTTTAAGTTCTGTGTATTTTCTTGAATTTATCATTAATAATTATGATAATATTTTCTAAATAGATAAAAAATGGAATCGGAAAATAATATGTTGTATTATGGTTTTAAGTATAGGTAGTAAATATATTATATTTATGAAACAAATACTACTTAATAAATGAGGAAGTACTATGATCTATAATTGTATTATATAACGATATATTTGATAACGATTTCAATGAAATACGCGTTCCAAAAAATTGTACTTAGATCTATCTGGTAATCATTTTAACCCAATTTTTTAGAAATTAATTTTGTTTTTATATTCGTTGGGGATTATCACATATTTTGTCTTTTTAATGACAGTTTTCTTCGAAGCTATAATTGTTTTTCAAGGATTTTTACATGATTGCAATCCTTGGATTTATTCGTATATGACTCAGTGTCAATGTCAATGTGCGTAATATGTATGTATTTTTTTTTATGCGTACACTCTTAGTATGTACACATATAATACCATTGCTAACCCATCATCTTAATACTATAAATTCTTATCGCTAATACAATATTAATTCCTACAAATCACACATATTATACAATTAGACGACGGATGTTCGACGACGCTGTATGATTATTTAACGACGTTTATATGATTGTGTTTGTTAATATATTTAACACGTTTAACCTAAAACGATTGTAACAGTATTTGTAGTGTACACATGTGTTGTTTTTGTAAGTGTAAATTGACCCTAGACAAGTTATTATAGTATTGTGTACCCATAAAGATGACCAATACAATAATAATAATAATAATAATAATAAATAGTAAAAGGTATATTATATTGATTGAAGCAAACGCGAAAAAGCGTAGGTGTAGTGACTTGACTGATGTGCTTAGAACGCACTACTCGAAGAAAATTTAACTTTCCTAGCATGTGGTGTCATTCAACGTTATCTCGCTGTGACACCAACGACACGACGTTTGCATTTTATACATGAATGAACTCGCATTTATTACATTATAGTATATACTTACGTACAACATATGTATATTATTATATAATATACTATAATACTGCGTTTAGAAGTCATTAATTAGTACAATAATGTTAGCAATCTTATGCACGGGCAGGCAAGACACTAAAAAAAAAATTGAATATAATTACTAATTACAAAAATCCAATTTCTAATTTAGTACATCAAATTCAAGTAATATTACATTATTATAAGTAGTAACCAAACATAATATTAATAACTAAACACGGTTAATATGTATTTGAAAAAGGTGCTATCTGACAAGTAAAAACTACAATATTTTTTACAAAAAAAAAAATACACTTAAATAAACTGATAAATTACACTTTAAATAATATATAAAGTTAACAGTATGAGGGCTATAACTTATAATTATAATATTCCTGAAAACGTTTTTTCTGACGGACACTAAAAAGAGTCCCAAAAGGGTCAGATAGTTTTTAAACATTTTTCAAATGTCTTTCTTGGTTATTTGGTCCGGTCAAACGATTTTTCTTCAATAATATTTATGCTTCAGGTGTTGATAGAACTGTATACGTGTAATTGTAATTGTCTGGATACTGATCGCATACAACTATTTCTTGTACCATTGGCTGATGAAACATATTTACATGTTATTATTTCTACTTTAAGATAAGTGAGTAATTTACTGGAATCTCGGATAGTTTAAGAACCGACAGTCGTTGCATGTGTAACGGTATATAATTAAAATTAACAATCTACACGCTCTATATTAATCCTAAGTTGATATTTTTTCTCAAAGTGATAGGTGTGTAAATATTCAGTACACTATATAGTTAATGTCTAAATTATTTTGTTTTACTTGTATAATTTGTTGATTGCGCTAGAGTTCGCTTACTCCTCATTTCGAGCCTTTTACTTATGTGAATGAAAACATGATTAGGCAAATTAATCATGCATTGGGGTTATAAAAAAATATCATAATTGAATGCGTGCAATGTTCCCATGGTGTATACTTACTATAAACACCACGTGCAGACATTTTATTTGCATGGAATGCAAGAAACGTTTGATCTATAGTTCTAAAACCTCTGTATACAATTACAGGGATAGTGGGTCTTCTAATTTCTATAACCCTGAAAATATTACACATAGTTCATAAAATTTAATTCAGTACTACCAACACAAATTTTGTTTTCTCTTTATAAACAAAAACCTTATGCCTTGTTTCATAAACATTATTTATTTGAAAATAATTTAGTAATTTATAATTTTAATATAAATACCTATTGTAAAAAATAATCTAATTCATAAATTAAGACGATTGTATTTTCTCATTACTTAGTTGGACCCATGTGTCCAAGATTATCGCTTGTGATAGACCCGGTGTTTTTTCAATGTTCAAGGTGCAGTTCCTCCAGGGTATAAATACTATAATTTGTAGGTATAATTTGGTTATTGAATAGTATTTTTTTAATTTTTAAGTTTTGGTTGATTATTTGTCATACAATAATAATAATACGTTTTAAATAACATTTTTTTCTCATTGACGCAAAAATTATTTGGAAGATATATACTATTATTAATTATTTTATAAAAAGAAAAAATGTATTCAATATTGATACAAGCTATCATTGAAAATAATATGCTAGTTTTTTTTAAAAATTCAATTTTCCTATTTATACGGTTTCTTTATGTTTTTGTTAAATACAAATAACTCAATAATATAATTAAAATACGTATTTTAACACTTGAACTAGGTACTTATTTTGCGTACAGTTCTTTAGATTTATTATAGGAGTTTTTCTTTAATCAAAGTGTTCTGTTTGTGCTGCAATCGCAAATCCTTTTATGGCCAACTCCCATTGTTTTATTTTGTTCTTGTAGTAGGTATTAAACGTCTGTAAATGTTATTAGAAGTGTCACGTGTCATCGTGACACGTTTGCCGTATACTTAGGTGTTTTCTGTAGCACGAGTCCGGTCGCGTTCTATAGGAGGGATACTAAAAGGCTTTCTATTTACTTTTCGCCTCTTTGGCTTACTTTTTTTTATAATTTAAAGCCTTGTGACTATCGTAAATAAACCCGATTAATAAATAAAATAACATGTGTTTTCTGTAAAGGTAGAGCGAATCTAAAAGAAAAAAAGTAGCATAGGATTTTCCTCCAGAGATCATAGCGGCTGTCAGAGTGACAGTATTTCCTCCTCCCAGTTATTGGAGTCTAACTGTAGGGTAAATTAAAATGTGAACAAAAATAGTCTACTTTGATATATAAAAAAAAGCCTACCCAGTTGGGATGAAACGTACTGGGTACTTAAATA